TTGTTTTAAAAAACACCAATGTATGTTGATTATAAATGAGAAGTTCATTAAAATAAAACAATCCTTACCACTATGAATGTTTTTGCAAATCACACATATGTACATATATCACTGGACAGGTTGATAAATCTTGGGTAGTCTGCTTGTCAATAAATGTAGATCTTACAGCATCCTTTTAAATTGCTGCCTTAGATTTTGTATAGGGATGTATCAGAACTTTGGTTTAATCAATTCTCTATAGATAATTACATTGTTTCCAACTTTTCACTTATATAAACTATGGTATATTGACTTTCCTAGTCCATACATCTCTGTATCCAAATATCTCCTTGGGTTACAGCATTGAAGTGGCATTGCAGGGTCAAGACATATCATTTAAAAGTATTTGTACACATTCCCAAATTGCCCTCCAGAAATGTTATAGTAATTTATGTTTTGGGCAACAATGCATGCTAGTACATGTTAACCAATCCTCGGATATTGTGGTTGCTAGGCAGAATAATGACCCCTCAAAGATATCCACATCTTAATCCCTAAAACCTACAAATATCTTCGCTTACATGGTAAAAGAAACTCCAGATGTGATTAAGAAAGGATCTTGAGATGGAAGATTATCCTGGATTATCCAGGTAGGCCCAATGTAATCACAAAGGTCCCCACAACAGGGAGAATCAAAGGTCAGAATCAGAGAGAGATGTGAAGAAGATGCTAGCTATTGGTCTTGAAGATAGAAGAAGGGCCAAAGAATGTTAGGCGGCTTCTTGATTCTGGAAAAGGCAAGGAAATGAATTTCCCCCTAGAGAATCCAGAAGGAACACAGCTCGGCCAACCTTGGCTTTAGCACAATAAGACTCATTTCAGACTTCCGACCTCCACAACTGTAAGAGAATACATCTGTGTTGTTTTAAGCCACTAAATTTGTGGTAATTTTTAACAGCAGCAATAGGAAATTAATAAAGATATCATAAATGTTCTTCATCTTTACTGATCTCATATACAACAAATATCTCATTTTTATTTGCTTTTCTTTGATTACTAATAAGATTAAATCTGTTTTTAACCTTTGATGTATACCAAGTAGTTAATGTTGCTCGGTTCTGGACCTCTTTGAGAATCTGAAGAAAGTTGTGGGTTCTTTCACCAGAGAAAAGCACATTTGCACATATCTTAGGGGCTTATTGAGTCCCCAAAGCTCATGGATCCCAGCGTAAGAACTCCTGAGCTAGACAGCAGGAGTGGGAAGGGTACCAGCGATAGCATTCTCTTATTCAAAGTCAGAAACCTAGAACATGATAGCACTGCCCAGCCACCTGAGATGTGATGTTGTAAAAAGTGCCTGGCCTAGAGGGCCATAATCAGGGATCCGGCCAAGCTGACCCTTCCTGTAACATGGAGTGCAAGGGTTGGGCACCACCCAGCACCCACTCTTCTTGTTCTCTACCTGTTTCACCCTTTAGCTTCTAAGCCTTGAAGCAATTTGATTTCTGTTTTGAAATTCTCACACCAGCAATTACTCTCCCCTTTCCCTTCTTTTTTTTTTTAAAGAACTCAGCCCAAAAGCCATTAGGTGAGGACTAATGAGGAGGGGGGAGTCATGGTAGACCAGAGGGGGCACTGAGCCTGCACAGGGTGAAGAGGGCGTACACCTGAGGGTCGTGGTGATGGCCTGGTGAGGGGTGTCAGAACCTGAGGGGGTGCGGACTGCATCTGTGTGGGGGTAGAGGCAGTGGTGATAGGAGGTTGGTTATATAGAGAGGGCTTTATTAAATAAGTATATATATTACGGATAATGGGAGCCAGAGAATTAGAAATATCGAAAGGGTGAAAAATAGAATAAATCTCGTGGTGTTGGATAAGAATTGGAGATGCAAGGGAGGACTCATGGACCCCAATGTATAAATTTGGAAGTATAGCAAGTGTGTTTGTGTATGCATGTACATACATATATACGGATATTCTTTACCTCTGTGCACTGAGAGCCTGAGAGTAGTGACACTCCAATAGCAATGAACAGACCTGACATTGAGATCTTGGTTTCTATTCTCCAAGACTGGAGCAGGGAAAAGTTCAGGATAAGACTGGGATATCTTGTTTTGCCAGAAAATAATGAAGGTCTTAAAGAATGGTATGGACACGTCAAAGGGTATAGGAGTCATCTTTAAGGGGCTCTCATTGGCTGAATCTGGGAAGTTTTTTTACATCAAAATGAAAAAGGATAGCAATAGATTATAGCCCATTGGATAAGACAGGAATCCAGGAGTCCATGCAGATATAAATAAACAAACGAACAAACCGTAAGTTCAATGAGGAACGAGGTATTTACTATGGGCTCAAAGCACCTCTTCACAAAATACATATTACAAAGAAAAAGAATACCTTTAAAAGGAAACACCTGGAACATACCACCTTCATCAAGTGATAGGAATTAACATCAACTGTAATGGTACCATGAAAAACACGGTCTTGTGATCAGGTGCAGCATCACTTCTGTGATGTCCCTGCCAAAGATCCATCACCTGAATCTAATTATGAGGAAATGTCAGACAAATCCGAACTGAGGGACATATTTGAAAATCACAGGCCCATAATCTTCAAAATTGTTAAGGTCATGCAAGTCAAGGGAAGCCTGAGGAATTGCTCTGGATTGAAGAAGACTTAAGAGACAGGACAACTAAATGCAGTGTGTGATTTGCGACTGACTCTTTTGCTATTAAGGACATTATTGGGACAACTGGCAAAACTTGAGGGAAATATACACTGGGTGACGGGGTATCATGTTGTCAACACACTCTCAGAGGGATTGGGTAGAAAAAGTTCTTTGTATTCTACTTCCCATTTTTTGTAAAATTGAGGTTATTTCAAAATAAAAGTACGGTCATTAAAAAAGAAATTCTTATACCAAATCAAGAAATAAAACATGTGAAAGGAAAGAGAAAACCCTGATCTGCCAAGACCTCAGGATTTGGAGGACTGCGGGACTGATAAACATGAGCATCCAAACAGCAAAGCGGTTGATGGCTCAGAGAATGGGGTTGTTAGAATTTCATTTCACATCTGTTTAATCAGATTTTAAGTATTTTTAAAGACCTGAGAAGCAATCACGAGCATTGGAATAAAGCAAAGTTATCATGTTACAGACTGTGAGTGGCCTGCAGTATTTAATGGACAGAGAAGACATATTTTCAGAGGAGAGACTGGGTGGAGAAAGCAGGGCAAACCTTCAAAAGTCATGGAACAGGATGTGTCTTTTTGTTTATTAAATATAAAAAAGCTTTTATTTAAAGCTCTGGAAAGAGCGCTTAACGCAAGTTTTGTTTTACTTTATTTGACCTCCAATTTAACTTTTTATGATAATTTTTCTCTCTTGAACTACACCATTTTAGGAATGATTTCAGTGTGCTTAGAAGAAAAATCTTCAGCAAAATCTCGAGGCCCTCTCTGTCTCCCTGATGTCATATCTGAACTAACTGTGATGAGTCAGTCTCTGAACTGTGGCTTTGAGCAAGGATGAGAGATGCCGCAGAAGTTCATTAAAGTCGAGAACAGCAGGATTACAAGGAGAAGAATTAGGAGGTGCAGTCTTTATTGTGCATATAGGAACACTGTGGTCATTTTCTTCTGGGCCTAAATTCTTTTTCTGGGCTCAGGAAGCTGGCAGCACAACAGAGGCACAGGCTTGTGCTGGCTTATCTCTCTTGATACCACTTCAAAGAGTCACACATTAGATACAATGGTCCCTGCCATGTTCCAGAAAGGGCCTTGAATGAATTTTTGGTCTTATCTCCTTGGCACCAAAAGTTACAGGGAGCTCATTATTTCTGAGCAGGCACTGCCAACAGAGAAATGGAGAATTCCATAGTCATAATGGATTTTCACATAAAAAGAAAAGATTCTTGACAGAATGATGGTTTTGGAATGAAACTTGTCTTTCTACATACCTTTCAGAGATAAAGTATTGAAGGTGAAGGATAAAAGAGAGTTTGAACTTTTATAACAGATATAGACGTACTGCTAGGTTACGGTTCTAGAATAAGAGTGCAATTATTATTGTTAGCACTTTTTTCTTTTGGCCTAAGCTACCTCTGGCCCAATCTACTTTCTGAAATTTGCTTTGATAGGCTGTAGTGGATAGGGAACAGCAGATGGTCAACAAAATCCTTCTTAAGCTGTATAGGTTTTCAGAGACAATACAAATTCTTTTCTATTTTCAGGAATGTTACCTGCAATCCTAGCATGGGGATGTCCTGGCAAAATGTCTTTCTCAGAATGCTCATGAAAACATTGAAATAAAAACAAACCCCAACTATAGCAGTGTGTTCCTTATTGGGATTTTTAAGGTGCCGAATGTGATTCTGGCTCATTCTTCTGCTCTCGTTTTCTACTAGCAAAGAGAGGATGTTTTCCCAAGTGGTGAGCCCTGGGTTTCTGTGGAATGGGAGACTCAGACCATAAGCTGTGTGATGGTCAAGATATCATGGAGTTTTTGGCACACAGTAGAGGTGCAAGAAATATTTGTGGAATTGAGCTAGGTTTCCAATCCAGATTTTATTCATTTATTCTTGAACAGTTAATACATATACTTGATTCAAAATTTAAAAACTAACAAAAGGGAATGCTGTGAAATTCTCCCTCTCACCTCTTTCCTCCCCTGACCACCTGGTTCCTCTCCTCATAGGCAACCAGCATTCCCAGTTTCCTGTGTATCTGGAAGGTACTTTCTTGACATAAAAAAAGGATATTCAAAGTGATGCCCCAAAGAAAACCACACCTTTCTCTTTCTTTTCCTTTCAAGAGCAAAGTACAATTAAATGGGCTGCCTTTTTTTTTTTTTTTTTTTTTTTAACTCTGGGGGCCTTAGGGTCTAAGGAAGCCCTAAAGTTATAAAGTCAATGCCAACACCCATGGGCAAGAAGGAGAGGAAGTAAGTAAGTGGTGTGTATGTGAGAGAGAGGGAGAGAGAGAAAGTGGTGGTGGGGGTGGGGGGTGGGGGGTGAGGGGGGGCGGGGCGAGAGATGGGAATGACTTCAAAACTCTTATCCAGAAGACAAAAAAATATCAAAAAGCAGAAGCTGGGTAGTAATTCTCCTGCTTCACAAAACATATAAGAGACTGAAGCTAATTATGGTAAGAGGTTAGACAAACTTGCTTTCCACAATATTTGCCAAACTCAACTTTTCCTAAACATAGCAGGATATAACACACAAAAAGGTGGAAGACTGCAAAGCTGCACAAGTGGCAATAAGTAACGGAATGGAGACAAGACCCTGCCCGAGTTTTGTTTCCATTATAGTCAACTATTTGCACAAAAAACCAGGTGAGTCCAGGCATCTGGACTCCACGGTCCAAGCGCTGGACATAGAACAGGACCTTGTCCTCTTCTTTGCTTTCCTCCCTGTCTCTCATGGAGGGAGGTCTAATTCACACCTGTGTTCCCTTCTTGGCCTGTCTAATCCCATATATCCTTCACGGTGCTGCTTAGGCCCCATTTCCCCATGAAGTCTACCCAGATGCTGTGAGTTCTTTATATTTTACGAGCGACACCCTCCAGGACAGTCAGCATCCTCTCCTAAGATCCCTTATAAAAACAACAATGCCTTCTATATTCCAGTATGTAGCAAAGAGGAACAAGTAAGGAAACTGCTCTTGGCTCGAAGACAGGGCTTCACAAGCGGTTTAGAATCTTCCCTGAGACTCTCCCTTCTCCTTGGGGTCCTAGAAATCCCACCTTTGCTGCCATCCTTGCTTCTAGCCCAGGAATAATGCAAAATGACTATGTTTTATAGAGAGCTTTAGCGTTTACAAAATGGTTTTACTTATTTAATCCCATTTGACTCTTCGGTCAGTACTGAGACAGGTTATCAACCCATTTTACTCATGAGAAAGGAAGAGTCAAAGATTATGGGACTTGACTATAGTTCAACTCTAATTCCAAAGTTCATGCTCTTTTCATCCTTTTGGTTCAGTAGTGGGCAAAAGCCCTCTTATTTTTCTTGCTTAATTTATCTGAGATAGGCTGGAATTGTCAAAGGGAACTTGACTAAAAAGTATGTAGCAAATACATAATGAAAATATAAACAGCATAAAATGGGTAAGTTAATGAAAAGGTAGGTTAACTGAGGTCTGAATCTAGCTTCTTTATCCCTGCCTCCAGGACCTGGCCCCCAAGGGCATTTTTTCTTCCAGCTTTATTAAGATATAATTGACATATAACATCGTGTAAGGTTTAAGGTGTGCCATGTGTTGATTTGACACACTTATATATTGCAAAATGATTACCACTGTAGCATGGGCTAACACCTCCATTGCTTCACATAATTACCATGTTTTTCTCTTTTGTGGTGAGAATATTTAGGATCTACTCTCCTAGCAACTTTCAAGTAAATAATACAGGATCCCAAGGGCATTCTTAAGTTTCCCAGTGCCTCCACTTCCAGAAGGGGAGGGCTGGGCAAGAGCAAGAACTGCCAAGTAATAATGACTAATATTAAGTGAGCACTTATTGTGTGCCAAGGCACCATTCCGAGTTCTTTACTTATATTACCTCATTTACTTTTTTCAAAAACTCTAGAGGTACATGCAGTTATTACCTCCATTTTACAGTCAAAGGCAGAGAGAACTTCTAGAACTTGCCCAAGGTCATGTAGCTGTTAGCAGGTGACAAGCCTTTTGGCTCCAGAGTCTGTGCTTCCAATCACTATACTTCACAAGCTCTAAGGGGCATGTGAAAGGCCCCAGTAGACAGCATGGGACTTAGATGAATAGACAGGAATAGAATTTCCAGGAGAGGATTGAAGTTCACAGAGCAGCCATTCAGTACTCTCTTTTTATTGTCACTCCTCATCTACTTATACTGCTTTCTCACCATTCCTTCTGTGTTGATATTTTGTCTCCAACTAGATAAGAAGTTCCCTGATGTCTGGGACATACCTTGTGCTTCTCTGCTCCTACCCAGGACCTGGCATAGCATGAGCCCTTCAATAAGACAGCTGTCTCCTGGATGATTTTCAGCAAAGAATTTATACTCACAATGGCAACAAGTTCTGATCCTATAAGAAGTTGTGGCAAACCACAGTGAAGAGGAGAATGGACTTCTTGGTTCATAGATTCAACAGGGAAGTAAGGGACAGAGGCAAGAAATTAACATATACTAGCATCTACCTTGCACCAAGCACCACACTGGGCAGGCTGCATAAGACATCTCATTTAACTCTCAGTTTAATTAACTCTGTGAGTTGGGCATTGTTGCTATGGTCTGAACGTTTGCATCCCCCACCAAATTCATATGTTGAAATCCTAATGCCTGATGTGATGGTATTATGAGGTGGAGCCTTTGGGAGGTGCTTAGGTCATGAGGGTGGAGCCCTCATGAATAAGTTAGTGTTCTTATAAAAGAGACCCCACAGAGATCTCTAGCCCTTTCCACCATGTGAGGGCACAGCGAGAATGTGCTATCTATGAACCCAGAAGGAGGCCTTCACCAGAACTTGACTCCGCTGGTACCATGATCCTGGACTTCCAGCTCCATAACTGTGAGAAATACATTTCCGTTGTTTATAAGCTATCCACTCAGTGGCATTTGTTACAGCAGCCTGAATGGACTAAGCCAATTATTTACACAAGAGGAAGCAGATGCTGAGGGTTTGGAAACAGGTCTTTTAGCTGAGGTACCCCTGTCCTCTCTACACTACAAAGTGGCTTGGGTACTGAGCCTGAGAACTTAGGTCATGAACCCATCTTCCCTTTGACCATCTGCCTCTGGGCCCCGGGACTGCTGTAAAACTGCCTCTAGCACCACACAGACACCAGGAAGCCCAGAACCAGAGTGGATATTTTTAAGAGCCAGTTCAGCGTTGAGGAAAGATTTATTAGGGAAAGTGTAGAGTTCCTCATTTTCCCACTGATGGACTTTCAATACCTGTCTATTTCAGGGACATCCAACTTATTCACGTCATTCCGGTTAAACATGGCGGAGAGGGCAGACAGGCCTGGGAATTGGTCCTGGTGCCAGCAAAGGGCAGGGGCAAATGTGAGTTTCTCAAGGTCCCCATTTCCTGGCCATTTGGAGTCTTAAAATAAACCCATGCCTAGATGCTTGCTGTGGCTCGGAACAGTGGCTAAGCAGGGAGATTTACTGCCTTGCTTTCTGTGTCCAACTATTTTGTGTCACTTATGCTCTGGTGTCTTTTTAAATTTACGGATGTTCACTCCAGTCTAAAGACCCGCTGTACTCCTTCCTGTGGCTTCCTCGTAAATGCCCTCCGAAACACTGATTTAGTTTTACACTATATGTGCTGTAAAGCTTCCTGCAGTCCCTATGGGGTCTCTGTTCTCTACTTTGGATTTCATTTAAAAAAAAAAAAAAAAGACAAAAGAGCATAAACATGTGCCATAAACAATCACAAAATGCCAACCTTTCTTCTTAATAGCAAAGCATATTCTCTCTGTGGGCAAAGATATAGGAAATCAAAAGCATTTTCCTTGTGACACAAAACCTCAGGCTTCCAGTATAAGTGAGGAAACAGATGCCAACTCATGTCTCTTTGAAAAGGGCAGGATACATTCCTTTCTTTCCCTCTCTTCATCAAGGACGCTGGCCCGCTCCTTCACATTTTTTTTTCTTTCCTTTCCTCGGCATCACTTTCCTTGCTACATCTGCAATTTCTGATGGGGTGGGCCCCCATTGTGGATTAATTTTTACCTAACCTTTGACCATCAGAACTTGCCGTTCCCACAACTATCTTTAGCGAGGAAATCGTGACGATCTTGGTCTTCTGAACTATCGTATGAAAAGCAGCTTCCCAGCAGATGTGCCTAGGGTACTTACTGACTGCGGCTGCGTGAATTTCCTCCTAACTGGGTTCAGGAAGTGCCTGATCCAGTCTGGACCAAGAGAATCAGGAAGTGTACAGGGTGGGGCGAGGGTGGAAGTGTGTGGGACAGATGATAAAGCTACAATAATAGAAATGAGGAATGGAAATGACACAAGAGGCCTTATAAGCCAAGGCCCTGCTACTTAGTCCTGTCTTAAATCACCTGAGAATATTGATGCAGACTCTTCTCTCCCCAGGACCCGGGAAACTCAACAGACGGGAAATATCTTCAACATCAGCTGTTCAGAGGCGAAGTGTTGCATCAGTTGTCTCAATCAGGATTGACAAACTATGGCCTGAGTGCCAAATCTGGCCCTGTTTCTGTCAATAAAGTTTTATCGGGCCACAGCCACACCCATGCATATACTTATTGTCTATGGCTGCTGTACAACTGAGTTGAGTCTTTGCCACAGAGACCTTATGGCCCTCAATGCCTGATGTATCTCCTATTTGGCCTTTTACAAAAAAAGTTTGCCCAACCCTGGTCTAGAGTAGGGGCCTCGGGAGGTCACCAGGGAGAGACCACTCCAGGCTGGCGCACTCAAGGTGGCTTCACACAGGGGTTTGAACTGTGCCTGGAAGACTGCTAGGATCAAGCCAGGGAGGAAGGGGTGGGAGAGGGTGTTCCAGGCAAGGAAGGCTCAAGGCCATGGCAATTACTAGGGAAAAGTGGAATGGAGGAATTATTTGAGACAGGAATAAGATGGAAGGATGGATGTAAAGGTTAGGTCTGAAGAGCAAACAGCCTTGAATGCCAGGCGAAAAATATGATAAAACATGCCATTTTCCCATACCAGCCTCTTCGTGGGTAGAAGGGGGCAGGCAAGTGACTTTTAAAGGCCATTCAAGCACTGAGAATAAATTTTTAGAAGTACTGATGCCTTGCCCCACCTCAGAGACTGTCTTAATTGGTCTCAGGTGAAACATTGTTTTTTTTTTTTAAACTTCCCAGGTGACCCTATTGTGCATTTGGGAACCTCTTTCTAGATGAAGGCAATGGCGAGGCACGTCCCTGTAGCAGCCCAGCTCAGGGCCAGGTCTATGCAGCAGGTGCCCAACACATGTGGGTCAAATTAAGTCAGCAATATTGGCTTGTACCAGAGCCAGCCTGAGGAGCCTCTGTTTTACTAGAGTCAGCTCTGTAACATTCAGTTGGCCACATGGTTTCCAATAAAAGAAATCATTTCTGCCTGCCCTTGCCTAATCCTGGAAAAGCCCATGATGCTCAATGCAATATTGAGTCTGTTTATAAATTTGGGCATTTATAGATTTTTCTCTCACGGTTATTTTATCGTGACCATTTACAAGGCCTTACACAATTTGCTCTCAGCCTTGTTACCTCTCTGATCTTCTCTCCCACACACAACCCCGATGACTCTACTTCTGCCACACTACACTAGCTTCTTTGTTGTTCCTTGAGCACATTGGGCACGTCCCTGCCTCAAGGACTCCACACTGGCTCTTCAACTGCCTGGGGTGCTCTTCCTTTCTCTTCCTCCAGACAAGTGCAATGCTCAATAGCTCACACTAAAGTCTCTGCTCCAGCATGGCTTTCTCAGCGAGGCCTCTCCTGAATTGCATGCTCTTCCCCACAGAGGCACCATCCATCCTTCCTACCCTGCTTAATTTTTTTCCATAGCACTTATCACCTTCGAGTATACTATGTCATTTACTTCTTGGTGTTTATTTTCCATTTGCCCTAGTAAAATGTAAGCTGTAGGAGAGAAGGGATTTTTGTCTGTTTTGTTCTCTGCTGCATCCCCAGTGCCTTCAGTGGTGCCCAGCACATAGAAGAAACTCAGGAAGCATGTGTGTATTGCATCAGTACTTGCAATGCTTTTACTCATCCTTCAAGAATAAGTTTCAACAATTCCGTGGTCAACCCTTCTCTTTCTACTTTGTAAAGAAAGGAGTCCTCCCTCCTTTGTTCCCTTTGGCTTATTCTGCAACTCTTCAGAGCTTTTCTCACACATTATTGACTTTTCTGTCTCTCTGACTATTTCTGAGCCCCTCCAAGGCTGGGAGAGGGGCAGAGGACCTACCATCTAGTGGAGGCTGAACAGGTATGTGTGAAGGAAATGAGCCAGGATCAGCAACAGAAGCTTTGGACTATCCTTTTCCTCACAATTACACCTTCTGCATTTGCACACCTACGGAGGTCTCCATTTTATTCTAACATCTTGACTTGAGTGGTCTGAAATGTGTCATCACCACACAGGAGGTACATGAGTTTCAATGAGAAAAGCCTAAAAAGTCTGATGCTTTTGAGAACCTATTAGCTGTATGGATTATCTTTCCCTTCCAATGTCAATCTACTTACCAAGTCCTGTGGATGTTACTTCCTATATATGCCTGAATTGATCATTCACTTCTTTCCATTCTCTCCAGCTCTCTAGTCTAAGCCACAGTTCTCTCTTATGTGGAATACGGCAACCACTTCCTAAGTGGTGTGTCTATCTACTCTCTTCCCATAGAAGCCATCGTCTACACAGCAGCCAGAACAAGCTTTTAAAAACACAAATCAGATGATGTTTCTCTCCTGCTGTTGAACCATTCAAAGACTTCCCATTGCACTTAGCGCAAAGTATGAAAGACTTACCATGGCTTACAGGGTGCCAGCAATTTGCTCCCACTTCGCTCCTCAGCCTCATCTTGGGCCACTCTCCACTTCATTATTACTGTGATGGTTCAAAGGCTTTAGGTTTTCTTGCTTCACAACCTCTGCTGGCTCCTCTGCCTGGAATGCCTCTGCCAGGAATGCCCTCTCTTCACTTGGGTAACTTCCACTCACCCTCCCAATCTCAGCTCAGATACCCCCTTCTGAGAGAAACCTTGCCTAAAGTTCAGACCAGGGATGCTGTCCTTCACATGCCCCCAAAGTGCCCAGTTCATTCTCTTTTTATCACAGTCCTCCTACTTGAATTACTTTTCTCACCAGACTTGAAGTGCCCCCACTAAAATTCAAACTGCACAAGGGCAGCCACGTCCATCTGTATCCTCAGTATCTAGGTCAGTGCCGAGTGCATAGTAAATGCTCAATAAATTTTTCTTGAATGAATGAATGAGGACTAGGTTTGTCTGTCTTACTTAATGTGTATCCCTGGCCCCCAGCACAGTGCCTGGACATAGGAGACACTCAACAAATATTTACTGAATGAGTAAATTGATCTATCTTGAGATATTTCCTTCTTAGCCTCTTTACCAAGACTTTCAACTTTGAAAATTAAATTGTTTTCTGATCTACCCTCCTACCTTGAGGGGTTTACATGTGAACAATGACTGTAAGCTCCACCTTAGACTCCAGACCTGGGTCCCATGCATTCTAGCCACAGCTCCCTCATCGGCGTGATCTGATTTGTAGGAGCAGCCCAGTCACAACTTCGGTGTTGGAAGAAAAGGTTTTTTTCACCTTTTTGCATAAGATTTTGGGTCAACAAGAACATAGCTCTTAGCAGAGATATCTGGAACTGCATCTCATGCCAGCCAGGCCCTGCAATTCTCAGCACTTCAAATGAGTAGAGAAAAAATTGTGCAAGCCACCTGTCTTGGGTGGTCAGAAGGAAAACACCACTGCCTGACAGCTGTGTGTGGGCCTTGGCCTCACTGCCTGGCTTCTCCAGGCTGGAAGGCTCTGAGAAGAGGTGCTGTTACACGTGCAGGGCCCTGGGGAGCATGGCGATGCTGCTGAGAGGCTGCTGTTTGTGCTGGCTGTGACCCTTGAGCCCCTGGCTGGGGAGAGGGGCCAGGCACAATGACTTCTTTCATGGAAAAACTTTACTCTGTAAACGAACTCAGGTTTACATGCCTGCATCCCTCTCCTCTTGGTAAATCACAAGGCACGAGAAAAAGCTTGTGCCATTTGGCTCTCAGTGACATGAGTTTCTAGCAGAGATGTCACGAGGAGTCCCCCTGACTGGGGCACTGCAGCTTGCTCACTCCCAAAGGCGAGTTTGTGACTAAATACAGGGCAGACCAAACCTTATGTATATATTCTATAAGACCGTCTAACAGGTTCTGGCCCTAAATAAGACATGCTGGTTAAAGCTACTGAACTGCTTTGCTTAAGCCACCTGTTTTGTTACTGGAGGCACATGAGGTCATCTGACAAAGATCCAAGGCCTTTATAATACAGGTCTTCTCTTTCCTGAACTTCCTGAGGAAGATCTTTACTCCTGTAAGTTATGTTTGATTTTTTCTTTTAGGCTTTTTTACCTCATGGAGAAAGCCTAACCCAGTGACAGGACACAGGACTGAGTGCTACAGTGGGAAGAATGTGGTCCTCTTCCGAAACAGGAGACGTGTGATCCCTGCCATAGACCTTGGGATCTTTTCTACATAATAAGATGAATGGACCAGATCAGTGGTCAGCAAACACTTTCTGTAAAGGGACAGATAAGAAATCTTTTAGGCTTGTGGGCTGTAGGGTTTCTGTCACAAGCACTCAGCTTTGTCATTGTGGTATGAAAGAAGCCATAGACAAGACATAGGTAAATGAATGGGTGTGGCTTCATGTCAATAAAACTTTATTTACAAAAACAAGTGATGAACTAGATTTGGCCTATGGGGCATAGTTTGCCAATCCTGGGAGACATTATCTCTTAAAAGCATCTATGTAACAATTCTAGAACATGATTATCAAATTTGGGTATCAGCTTGGTCTAGGAAAATATTTAAAACATACGTGCCATGTATATATGTGCGTGTATAGGTATTCATATGCCCTCATATATACATAAAAATACACACACACACTCACATATATATGTCTGTCCATTTCTGACCAAGATGGAGTAAGAGAGACTGAATTTACCCTCTTGCCTAAACAATAAAAAAATGAACAAAATATATGAAGCAAGAGTTTTCAAGACATTGGACATTAGGCAGTGAAGGACACTGATCCCTGAAGAGTGGAAAACTAAACGAGGTGAGCCCTGTGCTGCCCCAGCTTAGTGCCTTGAGAGAGTTTCCAGGCTGCAGCATAGGGAAACCCAGGTGGAGCCCAGCGGACTCCCTGAATTTAGAAGAGGAAGCTGAAAGTACAGGGAGACCAACAAAGCAGCTAGAGTTCACAGAACAGAGTACCAGAAAGGAGAGAATGTGGGGCATAATGGTTAAGTTCACGGGCTGTTTTGGGGGCCTGGGGTTTGCGGGTTTACTCCCTAGCATGGATCTACACACTGCTCATCAAGTCATGCTGTGGCAGCATCCCACATGTGAAGTGGAGGAAGATTGGCACAGATGCTAGCTCAGGGACAATCTTACTCACCGAAAAAAAAAGAAAGGAGAGAATTGCAGAGAGAGAATATGAATGAATGAATGAATGAATGAGTTCCAGAAATCTGCAAAAGATCCCCTTTGACTATTCATCAGAATGCAGATCAGTGCATGCTTGTGAAGAACTACCTGAGGCAGGGAGAGGGAAAGAATTAGAGGTACCAGTTTCCAGTGTCCCCACAGGGTAGGGAATAGTACCTGTTCCCAACGTCCAGACTGGAAAAGCTCATGATTCATGGGCATTGGGTAGAATGTGGTATTGGTGTAAAGAGACATATCATTGAAACAATAGTCTAGAAATATACCCACATATAAGGGCAACTGATTTTCCACAAAGGTGTAAAGGCAATTCAGTGGAGAAGGAATAATCTTTTCAACAAATGGTAGTGGAATGAGTTGAGTATCCATATGCATAAAAACGAACTTCTGTATATACCTCACACTATATATAAAAACGAACTCAAAATAAATGATAGGCCTAACTGCAAAACCTAGAACTATAAAACTTCTAGAAGAAAACATGGGAGAAAATCCTTGAGACCTTGGAGTAGGCAAAGATTTCTTAAATATGACGCCAAAAGAACAATCTATAAAAGACAAAATTCATAAGTTGAACTTCATCAAAATGAAAATCTTCTGCTGTTTGAAAGACACTAAGAGTGAAAAGACAGCCACTGACTGGGACAAAATATTTGGAAATCACATATGTGCTAAAAGACTTGCATCCAAAATATATAAAGAACTCTTAAAACTCAATAATAAGTAAACAAAAAAAAAAACCCAATTAAAAAAATGGCAAAAATTGAATAGATATTGCACCAAAGAAGAAATCAGGAAGGCAAATAAGCACATGAAAAGAAGCTCAACACTATTAGATTTTAGGAAAATACAGATTAAAACTACAAGAAACCACTACACACCTAGTAGAATGTTAAAATTAAAAGGACTGACTATAGCAAGTGTTGGTGAGGATGTAGAAAAACTGGCACTGTCATACACTGCTGTAGGAATGGAAAGTTGTACCACCACTTTGGAAAACAGTTGGGCTGTTTCTTAAAATGTGAAATATATACCTACCATGTGATCCCGCTGTTTCACTCTTAGGTGTTTAATCAAGAGAAATGAAAGCATGTGTTCATACAAAGACTAGTACAAGAATAAGTACCGCAGCTTCATTTGTAATAAGCAGAAATGGGAAATGACCACTCTGTCCCTCAAGAGGTGAGAGATTAAACAAACTGTAGCATATCTGACAATGGAACACTAATCCACGATAAAAAGCAATGCGTATTGATGCCTGTTACAATACGGATGAATGTCAGAATAATTGTACTGAGTGAAAGAAGTCAAACCCCCCAAAAGGATGATTCCTTTTTTATAACATTCTGGAAATACAGTCTAATCTATACTGACAGCCCCTCAGTGGTTGCCTGGGGTGGGAGTGGGGTTGGGCAGGTGAAGGAAGGAATGGTTACAAAGGGCAGGAGGTAACTTGTGGGGATGATGAGTATGTTCATTATGTTATTGTGGTGATGGTTTCATATGTGTATCCACATATCAAAACATCATATTTTAGACTTTAAATACATATTATTTCTTATATGGCAATTATCTCTCAATAGCCTGTTAAAAAACTAACGTCAAATATATGTCAAACATGTATAAATATGTATTGTATCTTACAAATCAATAAAATATGATAAATATCTATCAAAAAATGAAGAAAGGACCTGAACAGGCAATTCATAAATGAATGTAAATGATTGATAAACAATAAAAATAAAAATTATTGAGATTCATAATCAAATGAACAAAAATACAAAATATACCATTTTTTGTATTTTATTTTATACTACTGTGAATTCATCAATTAAAATGGTAAATGTAAACCAGTGTTGATAATTATTTTGGGGAAATGGGAATTTTCATGTAGTGCTGGTAGACATATAAATGGGGAAAACGTTTTTGGAGGGCAATTTGACAACATATAGCAAAAACTTAAAATATACAAAACTTTTGACACAATAATTCCACTTCTAGAAATTGATCTTAAGTAAACAAAAATGTACACAAGGATTTAGGAATAAGAATATTCATCGTATCTATGTTTTTGTATTGCAAAAGACTGCAAAGAATCTAAAAGTTCAACATTAGAGAACTGGTTGAATAAGATAGGAAGCCATCAAAAATAAAACTGTAGGGCCAGCCCTGGTAGCCTAGTCATTCAGTTTGGCACAATGCACTGTGGTGGCCCAGGTTCGGTTCCCAGGTGAGGACTTACACCACTAGTCTATCAGTGGCCATGCTGTGACGGTGGCTTGCATTCAAAATAGAGGAATATTGGCAACAGATGTTAGCTCAGGGGTGAATCTTCCTCAGCAAAACAAACAAACAAAACCCCCCCCTGAAACTGTAGAAGAATATTTAGAGACATGGAAAGATGCTGGTTATGCACCACTCAGTGAAAAAGTTAGAAGCAGTATATAGAGTATGATTTCATTTTAGACAAAAAGATATGTATAATGTGCTAGGAAAAAGACACTTGCACTGGTTACCTCTGGGCTAGGTAATTATAGATAAATTTTTATTTTCTTCTTTTTGCTTCTATTTTTATTTGTTTTACAATGAAGATGTATTGCTCTTATAATAAAAACTCCAATAAAAGTTACTTTTCAGAAAATATCAGTGCTAATAACCTATAAATGATACTGTGAGAAATATTAGTTTTGGGTCTTAGTGCCGAAAAAAAACCCACCATTAACAGAAGGCTGCAAAAAGGTGTTGGTTCTGCAGGGAGGCCTGAGATGCTGCTGCCCTGTGACACCGACCTGGGCCTGGACCACTAAAGGTGGTGGCATGGGCCTTGCCCTACAGAGCAGACGGCACTCCCTGCAGAAAGGACAGCTATAAAACAAGGACAAAAAAAGTTAGCACCTGTCTTGCCTAGGACAATGGATCCAGTTAGGCTGGGTCCACTCGGCATGGCTGAGCCTCCACTGGGCATCTTCCACGTCTGTGTCATATAGCAAAGAGTGCGAGAGCAACAAGGCACTCACTAGTCCCAAGTCTTCATTTACAGTTATGGAAAGTGAGGCTCAGATGGGCCCATTCATGTGTCACTCAATCAAAATTGCTTCTTGAAAGGTACAGCAGTGGCTTGAAGTGAAATCAGTGCCAGAGTGTCTGAAAACTAAAACAGCTATTTCTAGAATAGACTCACCTACTGGGAATCTCAACACTCAAGCCTTAATGGAGAAGACCTAAGGCTTCTGATATGTGGCTTTAAAAACCCCAAATCTTCCTTGTCCCCTTCCTCTGGTGAAAACGCGAGAATCAAGGTCCATGAGTTATTGCCCCTGTGCCACAGAACCACGAAGTTCTCTGAATCTGTTGCAGCCAACTAATCTCGTAGATGGGAGAAATACATACACAGGAATCTCAGCATTTACTGACTACAACAGTGTTGGCAAATGGCTTTCATCCCGTATATCAGCTGCCACCATGTTTGGCGGGAATGTTAAAATGAATCCCAAGGCAGTGCCTGGGCTGAGTGACAGTGTCGTGATTGATTAGAGACATCTTAGCTGTGGAAGGGGTGATTAACAGTATCTTTGCCACATATTTCCATCCTGATCTCGAATATCTGTTCTCTCAAAATAGTGTTTCTTCATTAAATCTCTCCCACTTTTGATTACTCTTATGGAATGTGAGATTAATTCTTTCAAATATGACTTTAACTATATTATTCTCCTACTTAAAAATCCTTTCAAGGTCTGTCCCCATTTCCCACACAGTAAATCTCCTTAGTAAATTTACACAGTAATTCTCACAAGTAAATCTGCTTCCTTAGTCTAATAATCAAGGTCCTCCACAATTTACGCCATTCACTGTTCTATGTTCTCAGCAACTCTACACAGAATCACTTCCTTGGCCTATTTCTTGTACCCAGAGCATGCACTCTTGTCTAAAAGGCCCATCAGTAGGAGCTAGGGATGGGAGCTGGTCCAAACGGGAACAAATGGACTAACAGATCAGGATGAGGCGCTTGCTGGGGAGGAGATGGAGGGAGGCTATTAGAATGCTTGAGGTAAGGCTGTGAGCCAAATCTGAGTGGACAAGCTCTAGCTGAGCCTTGCTCCTTTTGATGGCCTAGTTTCTATCCCAGTTTAGCTGCCTGTCATCAGTTTTAAGGCAGTGGTGTTTTACAGCTGTTTCTGAACAGACACCTGATACACATCTCACACCTTTTTATCTCCAGGCTCGTGGCATCTTCTTTACCTTGAGTGCCTGTTTCCCTTCCTTTCTGCCTATTTGACTCCCACCCATCCTTCAGTACTCAGCTGCAGAGCATAACAATGAGGCTCTGGTCTGTCTCAAGTGACCTACTTCTCAGAGCCCGATACTTGACATCCTTCCCTAATTTATCTCCACAATTCCATGTGGATCTCTCCTAGTTCTACAGTGTTGGCGAGACATTGACGCTCACCATGAGAGTCCATTTGGCCCCACAGTTACACTGAGGCACCTTCTGGAGGTTGACTTGCTGTCTCATTCAAACGGAGCAGTCTGGATGTGAACTAGAGTACAAGGTTTCTCTTAACAGATTTAAATACCAGTCTAAGGTAACAAAGCATCATAAACTAGTAATGGAATGCAGCATCATAAAGCAAAATAAATTCTTATTGCCCATGGCTAAAATGAGACAAAATATGGTTCCAGAATAAGGGAGAAATAAAGTAAAGCTATCATGGAAAAATATGAGGTTAACTTTTCCCGCATGCCAAACAGCACCTGAGTGACCCAAGAGTTATTGAACTTCAAAATAAACAATTGCTGTATACCCTGCTAGTGACTGGGCTGTGATGAATAGTTATGACAA